AATGTTCCTTGTTAAATTTTTGCACTGCTCAACCAATTTTCATTTCCCATTTTCGTTCACTGGTTTTCATTCTCTGCCTTCACCAGTTTTAGTATTATTTATTGAAATCTAATATTTATTTTTTAAGTATCGGCAAAACCCATTGCTTTGGTACACAGTGTCATGTCACTGTCACGCTATTTCCATAAAATAAAAATATAAGATACCTTAAAAAATCTCATTTGTTAGAGCGTTCGTTTTTCTTTTAGATTATTATTATTATTATTATTATATTATTATTTTATTATTATTATTATTTTATTGATGAATCGAGATGAATCGAACAAAAGTCACCGTAGCGTGCCAGGCGTGTCAAAAGAAAAAGGTCAAATGTACTGGTGTCGCTCCCTGTACTAACTGTAATAGAACTGGTCATCAATGCGAATTTACTGGCACTGCTAAAAAACGTGGACCTAGAAATGGTACTGTCGAGGTGATCAAAAGTTCGGCTAGTAGAATTGAGAATGTTTTGGAAAAAGATCCAAGTTTACGACCTCAAATTGAACAAATGATGAAACGTAGCTCCTCGGTCCGTTCGTCGAGATCTCCTTATGGTGCATCCCTTAACTCAATAATGATTGTTGATAATGATCATAGAATGGATACTTCTCGATCTCATAGTATTCATAATGCCCCCAGAAATTTTCCATACCCTACTTCACGAGGGCATTATTCACAAAGAAAACATGGTAAATAAATATAAATATATATATATATATTTAGTTCTTTCAATAATATTTTTTTTATTCTCTTTTTTTTAAAAATTTTTATTTATTAATTTTTTTTTTTTTACTGATTTTTAAAAAATTTTATAGATCGAATGAATTTATATTCATATGCCCGAGATGAAAATTCCATGGAATTACAGCCCTCCCATGAGATCAGACAGGATGTAGCAGTAATTAAACAACCCCCAACGTTAATGAGACCTGTTCCGAAGTATCCCTTAAACATGAGAAATAATCATGTGACTAATGGAATTTCAAATTCACAATTACCTGATCATCATCAATTTTCCGCAAGTACAAATTCGTCGCATCATATTAATTCCGTCGCCATTCCACAATCATTACCGCCGATCGCCACGTTGGAAACTTCACCGCTTGTGGAATGCACTTCCGAACAATCAAATACACAACTTAAACATAGAGCGTTGTTGCCCGGCACGTTGTCCGACGTTCCACTGTCTCGCCAAACAAATGCAAATCCTTTACCACCTTTGTTGCAATCATTAGGCGAAGATTCTATGAAATTACCAATTCCTTGGATGGGACAACAACCAAAAAAATCTATGTCAATGCCGATTCTCGGAAATTCCGCGGGAATTAAATTATTACTTTCACCAGCACCAGATTTGGGGAATCCTCTCGATAATAATCGTCACTTAAAATCTCAATCTTCTACTGAATATTCATCAGCCTCTTATGATACTTTAAATTCTAAAAAAACACTTTCACCGACAAGAACATTACCTTCTCCACCATCGTTCTCGCCTCCTGAATCAACTTCACCAAAATCTCTCAATTATTACGAAGAAAAAAGTGTCGTCAATAAAAGTCCACAAACACTAACTTTGTCACCGCCCTCATCTCCATCTACATTTACACCGTACGTTGAATCAAATTCGCCATGTCAATCTGCACATCTTTTATATCAACCAGTGAGGTGGAATAATAACGAACTTGACGCATATAAACATAATGATCGAGTAAATATTGAGCGAGGTAGTAATAACATGGACGTGAATCAAGTTTATTCAAGGAATTTTAATCACCTTATGCTACAATCATAATCGATGACGGCTATTTTTTTTACGAAATCATAAGTTTTATTAATCATTTAATATAAGATAAAAAATAATCCGGAACATGACAAAAAAAAACCCTCCATAAAATTCTAAAATATAAACCTAAATAAAATTAAAATAGATTTTGTCATGATTTCCTTTCCAACACATTATATGATAGTATGTTTCTTTTCTTTAGAATTTCTTTTTTTTAACTCTCTCTTTAATTAAGCTTTAATTTTTAATTATTAAGTCAAACAAAAAAAAACCCCGATAGAATTTTATTTTTTCATTTTTTGAGTTCTAATTTAAGCAACAACAACGAAAAAAAAAAAAAAGAATTAC